TGATTGTGAATTATATGCCCAGATATCTCGGTACTTTATTTTCCAGTGTAAAAATAAATAGGGTCGACGTGAACGTAAGTGAAGCAACATAAATTAATATAAAAAACAAATGAGATTTAAAGTCAAAGGAAGTGAACGAAAGTTAAACAATCACAAGAATTAATTGCAACTGTGACTTGCAATAATGAAGTTATAATAGCTTACATTTTGTGGTACGTGCTTTATCACGCTTATCTACTTCTTTTACGTGACATCACACGTCTACATATATCTATTACTAATTGATTAGCACTACAGATATATTGTAGCACACATTCACACCTTTTTAAACGATGAGACTTTGAGATCCACTAAAAATTTGGAGCATATTAACATTTAAGGTTCCTACGCGTGCTTTGTAGTGTGAGAAATAGTTACTGTTTCAGGATTACAAGAAGAATTGTTACGGTTGGGTAGTTAGCAATTTTGTGAGTAAGGATAATTGCACTATGCATTCTTTTCTCCTTCCTACTATCATTTCAGGAATTGCAGTTGCTGGAAGAGTAGAATGAAAGAATTGGTTACTGATAATGGAACAGTCAAACAGGAACACGAAGTTTGTACTAATTTCCTTTTTGCATATCCGGAATGAGATTGTAACGTATCCGAGAGAGATATCTTCTTCCTTTTGTTTGCCTTTCTTCAGCAGTAAGAATGAAAAATCTAGCTAAACCAAAAAATTTTCATTGTTTTAATGGTCTATTAGTCCTGATTATATCTTCGTTGTTTATTAGAGAATTATCGGTTGAAATCGGTCAAACTTAATCGCAGATTCTTGCAATCCTGAAATATTAAAAATGTAATTTAGCTAATAGTATGGTTACTCATTTAATAATATTATACAGTCACTGATGTTTAATTTTTTATTAAGAGATTAGGAACTGAACAGGTAATTGGAAAGTATCAAGCTTAGTTGTATTTTTCTCTTGGTTTTCTGCCATGTGTCATTCTAATTTGATCTATTTTTAATTCCCTCTTTTCTTTTTCATGATTTTAATTCCTAATTTAACTTTCAAATCATTAGTTTTCATTAGTTTCATACAGTTATTCGTTACAATACAAACAAACATATTGTTATAACCATGAACGAACGGGTGGGAGAAGAAAGCTGCTGTGTGCAGCTGACGGCAGCTGGGACACGTACATCGTGCTTGGCGGGTAGTTTCAGGAAATATGTAAGAGCTGCTGGCAAGATGCATTTATTTTATTTTTAGAGTCGATGGTTCAGAAAAGTTGGTAGAAATGAGGAATTTTTGCATGCAGTTGAGAAAGAGATGCTAATGAAATGGACAACTGATTCGACTAACAATGAGTAAGACGTATTATTCTGTTAATTGTAATAATGAAAGGACCGATACAATGATCCATAGTGATTCTCAGATAGGAATAGCGCCAAAAATTCTAGGATTCTGAGTTCGAGAAAAGCGATATTATGATTAGCGAACTTCTTTATTCCCTTTTTAACGCTCCCCATTTCAATAGTACGGTAGGAAATGTGAGACAACAAAATAGAAAGTGATTGCAAGATGTCTATAGATGATTTGGATTGAGTCACATAATTGGTAGGATGTAGTTAGGAGACGACAAACGATAGTGGAGAGAAAAGGCTGATGAAGAAGTGACACGTTAGAAAAATACAACAAAAAGGTAGAAAGGTTGAAATAGTACAAGAAAGTTTATATTTCCATATATGATTAACTTCAAATGTTTTACAGGAAATTAGCAACATTTTTACAAAGTATATATGAAAAAGAAGCACGGCTTCATCCTCTTTCGACACAATCTTTATCAGTGAGTGGAAATTTCGTACTCCCAAAAGCTATCTTCATACCTCCTTCACAGGTAACTCTAATTTCTTGAATCTGTGTTATAACTTAACAATATTAATTTCAAAGCGTCTTTATCTTGATGTTAGCTATAGTTTAATAGCAATGAATGTTGTAATCTGAGATGTTCCAGGATTCAGTTTGTTTCAAATAGATTTCAAAACATTAAACAGTTCATTTGTGACTATAGGCTAATAACTTTCCAAGTGCTCAGTATCTTCAAAAAATTTGTACTGTTTAAGGTTGTCATATTAGCAGCTGAATATGATGCAGATATGACCATTCAAGAATTAATACCAAGACTTGTAACATCAAGAAAAATCAAAGAACAAGAAAGAAGAATACTTTATGCTAAAAATTTGTTGATGGTAGTAGCCAATCAGAGACGTGTCATGCATATGACGAAAATCTTGTTTGAACTTGGACGAAATATTGTTGCCAACAGTTCGTGGGCATTTGAAGATACTGCAAAAGTCCTCGTCAGCCGTGTTCTTCCAGTTAGTTTATTTGTTTATTTTATTTATATGGAACTGAAACTTAATATAAAGATGGAATTCTAGATAAAAAAAATTCGTTGTAATGTTAGTTTATTTTCTTCTTTTTGAAAGTTAGTGACAGTTCCAAACTCTCAAGCGATGTCTTTTGGTCTTTAAGAATGGTACTATTGTGTGAACAAAAAATTACTCGAACTTTCTCTAGTAGCTATTATTGTTGCTATTAACATATTTTTAAAAAATGTTACAGCCGATGTTGGAATGCCATTTGTGTAATTTCAAAACAGAATCACTGATTATTCTTGAAGCTCACAAGGAAATACCGCACTATGTCCGACACAGATACCGTTGCTCCTATTGCATTCAATTCTTCGTTAATTTCTATGAAATAAGAACTCATTTCCTGTATTTTTTTTCTTAACTTTTAAAATTTGGTATTTATGCTAAGAACTCTTTATTATTTTGATAATTTGATGATGACATAATTTGGGATACTAAGTTCATTTCTTTTTCTTTAAGAATGGTACTATTGTGTGATTTTCGCTGTGAAAAGCTTTTTTTGCTTTTATAACGATAGGCCTAAAAGTCAAATTGGACATACGGTTTGTTTCTGTTTTCAGTCGAAAACATCATGTAATAGCTCGCAGTGATTATCAGAACACGTTGGAATGTCCTTCTTGTGCAAAATTATGCAGCAGCGAGTTCATCTTGAAGAAACATAGAAAGCTCTGTTGTTTTGCAAAGACCGGGTATATATTTCTTACAACTTCCTTACATGAAGATCTTTTCCGTCGATTATTAAATGAGCTGTTGATAACTGGAAGGTTAAATAATGATTCAAATATAGTTAACGTCATGTAGTAAAAAATGTTAAGGGTTTTTGTTTCTAAAGTTGGTTTTTTGGTTTTGAAATTTCAAGTCGAAAAGACAAGTAAAATTGCAGATATACTATGTTTGCAACGAAAAAGCAAGCTTTATGCGCAGTCAGTGAGATTATATGTAATACAGAGATTGATTGTGATCTGTCACACCAGAAATCCGAACGCTGTATTTCACGGGTATACTTTTCTTTATATTATTAAAATTATTAAAAGGTTATCACCTGTAATGACAAATAAAACATTTATTTTATAACACAATTTGCCAAATAGAACAGTATCGCTGATAAAGTACCATAAAAGTTGCTGTACTCTGCAAGAAGTGAATGCTAAATCTACTAATATGCATCAGCGAACAATTCTAAATTCATAAATACAAATGAACCATAACTGAGATCATTAAATCTATTCTGTCCGTCAGTTTAATGCTAAGATAATAAGATGATCATAATAATAATAAGGTAGTAAGATAATCGTGTACTAGATAGAACCCTTTTCATTTTGCGAATGAACTCTAGGAATTCTTGCTCGAAATTTGACCTCAATGAATTAGATGAACTTGGAAATAATTGTAGTTATGTCCTAAATTTATCCCAAGAAAAAAAAATTATCCCTGAAATTTATAGTTATTCTCTAAAAAATGATTGTAGTTATTTTCCTAAAAATTAGCAGTTATAAGAAATTGTCATTCAAAAGGCATAAGAAACTAAAGTTCTTTTTTTTTACCACTAGTGTACATCTCATAACTTTTTCTCACCTTACTCGTTAAAAAGAACATTTGGACGTTCAATATAGAATTTCCTCTTTAAAAGTGAAAACGGTGCATGTTGTATTGAGAATTTATCCCACTTATTTTTACAGAAGCTAGTAAATCAAGAGGAAAATAGTCTTATACGAAAAGGAAGTGCGTTGGATTCAGGAAGATTTCAGTGCGTTCATTCAGGAAGATTTCAGCACTGAAGATTTTGTTAAATTTTAATCCTGTCTAAAAAATTGCGCTGATTTCACGTAGATTAGACGAGGGACTGCGTAATCTTTTCATCTATGTGCTATAAACTAATTTTAAATCCTCTTATCAGTGTTTGCTTCGTTCTCTTTTCATTTCGTTGATCTTTTATTCCTTTTTTAATTTAAGAGTTATCTATTTGATTTTATTCATAGATTTCATAAATCGATCAATACCAGTGCTTATATTTCTGTTGTTTATAATTTATCATTTAAAAAGAAAATGAAAATAAATTTTAAAAGAAATTGAGAATTTGAATTTACTGAATGATGGGTCAGATATTATCGCTCCCTATTGCATTATTTTTCTTGAATATGTAAAAATACTGTTCACTTTTCACTGTTTTATTTTTCAGATTTCTAGAAGTATTGACCACATTTTTGCATTTTATCGCAATGTTTCTCGGACATAATATATGATGGATGGATGAATAGTCTGTTTACTTTTGACGACATTTGCTTGAAGAATAGCAACTTCCGGACTTTTGGGGATAGGTGTGGGTTCATTCTAGCTGGATCTGAAGTAGAAATTCGAATATACATAATAAAAAGTGTTGAAAAGATGAACAATGGATGAAAATAGATACTCGTGGGAAAGACAGATATTCTGAAATAGACATTGTGGCGGTAACAAGTAATATCGATTGTGAAGGATTGGCAAGTATTTCAGCGGAATCTCCTTGAATAGACATTCATTTTTAGGAATTTGGGAATCTGTTCATTCATTGTAGTTCTTTTTTGCCGAAAGAAGTGTTTCTATGGAGAAAGTGGTGCGTGATTCCTCAGGTAATTGCTTTGTATCTTTTATCATGATTGTGGTAGATGTTCGTATAACTTTAACTTAAGAGTAGAAATTGTCCTTCAGAAACGTTCAAACGCTTGACATAAGTAGTCCAGTCTTTCGTTGTGAGAAACGTTATATACTGCACAGTTATTTTTGAGTGACCAAGAATTTACGAACTATTACTTTTCAGAAAAGAATTCAATATCTAATTGTATCTGCGACAGACCAGAGAGAACTGTAAAATGCCTGACTTGTGGAGCGACATTTCGAGGTCATGCTGCACTTGTGTGCAAAGAACATCCAAGAAGAATCAATTTGATGGATGTACGGCTTTGTCCCAATACATCATGCCGTAGCGCTTACTTAATGGAGTTTGAAGAAGGTTGACGCTTAACGAAGTCCTGCACTCACACTTTTTTAATTTTAAAAGACTGAAAACCATTCTTCTTGGTAACTCTTTAACTGAAAATGAAATAGAATTCCTTTAGAACAAAGTCTCAAAGAGCTGTACATCATTTTTATACTTCATCACTTCATTAACTAGAATTACTAGGACTCTATCAATAACAGGAGCATCACTTGTTGTGATGTGAACCACTTCGCGTAGTTACTTCCTGGGACATTTCTAGTCCAACCTATCGATTTATTCTTTTACTAAGATGTTTGGTCTATCCTCAGTCGAAGAACTTCCGGTTTAAGTCAGCTAATATCTCATGGAATATTTCTTCACCTAGGTGAGATAAAGAGGAATCTGATAACTGAAAAAAATATCCCAAAAAAAAACTCAAAAATATATCCCAGTTAATTTCGAATCATTGAATTGCAATTGTAGTGGTGAAAACAGTTCACCAACTTTACATATTGTTTGTGCTCCATATTGATTCCGTCCGCATAGTGTCCCCCTCATTTCTTCATAATTGTTTTCAGCATTTCGGGAGTTTTTTTTTATCGGGAGAATATTTTCATCGTATAAATGATTGCATAATTCTTTATAAATCTGCTGGTAATATTAGCTATTCGACTGAAATGATCAAATTGCACTTATTTTTTGCTGATTTCTATTGTACATTTTGCTCAATTGTCCTGTTCTAAATTGAAAAGTCAAAAGTGAAGGTGAAATATGCCACGAAATTAATAGCACTATAACGCTTTCACGTTAATTGGGTCAGATGTCTAGTTCGAGAAGGGAGCTTGTCTATAGCATGAGTGATCTCATGATTATGGTGTATATTTTTGTTCAATTACACTGTTTTTCCGTTGCATATTTATAAAAATACAATTGCATTCTTCCTAGATAATGTAAATTTAGCGACGCTTCGCCGAAGTATTATTTCAGCGACGTTACTATTCCTGCTATACTTTCAAAATATAATTTTGGAGAATTTAAAATACTGGTTATACCAGAAAATGTCCAGTTATTAATAATTCTTGTATACTTGCTAAATACAATCTTTATTTGAGCTCTTTTAGTCTTGAATAGCACATTACCCGCAGTACCTCTCTGTTCTAACAGATAACATTCATTTTGTGATACATATAAATTATTACTTATAGATCGCAAATAAAGTTTGTTCGGTAGGTAAAGACAAACATCCTTACGACAAATTTTTATTATTCGACTCTCTGATTTCATCCTTGCAGATTAAACGCCAACCCCATTTAAATTTCAATTCTCAATTCCATTCAATATTGGTATGAGGAAATGCCACTGCATAACAATAGCTTCCGATTGACGACACTTGCATCTGATGCTTACAGTAATTACGAAAAGAATCAAACACTATCAAAACAAACACTTCTCCGGAATTTCCTTCTTAAGAAAGATGTGGGTATTAACTCATGTAGTTTGTCATACTTATGAAATGAGATGATAGTAATTGTAAACTGCTGGATAATTCTATTTTCCTCTTGAGAAGTTAGAAAGGAAGAAAATCCCAAAGTTGAGCGGAATGAAAATTCTAGGAAAGGTGAACGGAAAGAAAATTACGGAAAAGTTGGACGGAAAGAAAATTCCAGAAAGGCTGAAGAGAAAGAAAATTCTAGAACGTTCTGTTAAGTGCCCACCCGCCTGCACAACAGGAACGAACGTCGCGATAGTCTGTTATTTTGTTTCTTCCCATTGCTGCTGATTGTGTTAGTTCGTTAAGTATTCTTTTCTCCGGCTTCTTTTCTGTTGTTCAGACATGTTTTCCGGATTTGGCTGTTTGTAGGCTGAGCAATAACCTGATCCCTCTTCTGATCATCTGCTCCTTAATGTTTTTCAGAGGAAAGTGGAAAGCTGGAAGACTTCGAGGGATCCAGTATTGATTAATTAGTGATTTTTCACTATTTTGAATATTTCGGACTATTGACTTGATGTAAAATGTCGTCGAAGTTTGATCAATTTTGATTGACATATTATTTTCCATCTTTGTTGTATATCGGGAAGAGTTGTATCGCAAGGGGATACTACGAATAGTAGTTTAGGTTATAATATCGGATTTTTGCCTTTATAGAATGGAGTACTTGACGTGAGGTTGACAACCGTTTATATAAAAATTTCTATGTTGTTACAGATGTCGAATGAACAAGAAAGAAATCAATTCGAAGTGAAATTGAACCTGTCAAATTTCCATTCCAATGATTTACAAGTGAATGTTCACGGTCGAGAGTTAATCGTTTCTGGACACCATGATGAACGTGAAGAAGGAGGTAGCATGATTAAACGTCATTTTGTTCGTACCTATACGTTGCCGAGAAGTGCGAAAGAAGAGCAGTTAACATCAGCATTAAGTGCCGATGGTATCCTGAAAATTACGGTTCCTACTAATGGAGCTACCGAATATCGTAAAATTCCCATCAAAGTGGATCCGAATTGGAAAATGCATTCGAATCCTTGCCAAGAGCTGATACTTCGTGAACCGATACCACTCTGGTGGTGGTGATTTGGTATGTCTTGCTATTTGATTAAAGAAAGGATGCAACACATAAAACAGTTTGATTTTGTAGTGTCGCTAATGTCATTTATTGTTATGTTTAAATTAGACTTTGCTTTGCATAGAAAGTTCAACATTCGAAGTTATATATGAAATGTCAGTAAGTCACCAAAAACATGTGTAGGCCTGAACTTTCGAGTACCAATTAGAATACTCGAAATGGGTTTGAGTCGTAGTAACTGCACGGATGTCAGTTCTTATCTATAGTTTTCATGGATGGGTACGCTAACGATCTCCAAGTTTAGGAAGCAAAAGACAAAAAACAATACAGAAATTAGGCATATCTTGCTGTATTGTTCCTGGTTCCTGTTTATGTTGTCGTCGATTATCGAGAAATGTTATTGGACACATTTTTTAATTGTTTTCCTCTGATAGTCTGGATTAATTTCAAATTTTTCGTTTTGCTTCAGTTTACTTCGGTTGCAAATAAAAGTTTTAGCAAAGCAGTATAACTTAACTACATTATCTACTGTGTTTGCCCACTGAATTGTTAATGAGTGTCACATTTTTTTTTTTTTTTTCAAAATGACATGGGAACGTAGTGATCCTTAATTTTGTTAAAAACTAATATTTTCCTAGGGCAATATAACGATTTTATTAACTCCTTAAATACAAATTTGCATGATTTAATATCGCTTGAGTGGTTGGGGAATGGAAGAAATGTATGACTATATTGGTTGTATCGTTAAAACAATAAAATTCTATTTAATATATTCTCAAAAGAAAGTGCTCGATTAATGACGATCTGACTATCTTCTTAAAAATGCATTCATATCGAAAGTGCCCTACTCGCATCATTTCGAAAACCTTGTGAAAGCAACAAAAGTCTTAATAATCTCTAAAAGTTATTTTCCCTAAAATTCCAAAAATAATAGAACAACAGTAGAATCATCGGAAGAGTAGTTTTTTCATAATGGAAGGAAACAAGACAATAAACAACTGGACATTAAAAACAAGGAAGGAAAAAGATACTGTAGAAATAAAGCAATATCTCGTCGGTAAGAATGATAAGTCTTCGGATTTACTCTAAAGATTATGATGATATTTCACAATGCAAAGAGCTTGTAATGAGATCCTTTACAACAAAAAAGCATGGGATTTTAGCGATTGCACAGGTTAGACTTCTTGAAGAGAAGTAGAACTGGTGATTGACAAGAAATATGTTCATCACGTAGCGCTCTTTCCACTTCTTTGATTATTTCTGGATGAATGGGCGTCACCACTAATAAATGTACAGAATCAATCCAACTTCGATCATACTCAACAGCAGCTTGAACTGCATGAAATTCATTTACAAATTCCACTACTGCACCGTCATTTAAATTCTTCACTACTTTGATGACTCGGAAATTATTGAAAATATTGGCGATTTCGAATTCGTTAAAACTTGCTGGATAACCAAAAACTTCAACGCTTGCTTTCACTGTAAATATCTATTTGATGAAAGGGATCCAACCACTCAAAAAAAAAAAATTTTTGATATTAATTCTATAAAATAAATTAATCCATTTCTTATGATGCATAATTTCTAAAAAATTTAAAGAATAGACATTCTTGTCAGATTTCTTCAGAACACTCTTTAATTTCGATTTATTGCGAAAAAAAGTCAGGTAGTCAAAAAACAAATATATATTAGCACCATTAACATTGTGAGACTATTTTTTTCCTCCTTATCTTAAATGTCATGTCGCAAGTACCACTTTGTAATAGAAACCTGAAAACAACTTCCAGAAAATGACACAAGTACCATTGACATTTTGAGATATATCATGGTCTTTACCATGGAGGACTTTTTCCACTGCAGCAGTGACATTACTCATTGGAAAGGAAATTATGTTCGTTGCATGCTTTCCTCTTTCGCCAATTTGTAGGCTGAATTTTGTACAAGCCCTATAACAGTATTAAACCTGACTATAAATAATTTTGTTCATAATTCTTTAATTCTTCACTGGAAAATAAACTCCAACTGCCGTCATAGTGTGGAATTAATTTTGGTACTGTGAAAAATCCTAAGAATTTATTCAAGTTAAAACAGAAAAAAGTTACTTTTTTTCCAAAGCGACAAGTTGTGAAATACGACGATTAAACCATTGAAGCATATTGCCAAGTACTTCTTTAATATCACATTCTTCAAAATAAGTCATAGCATTCTCCAATAGTATTCCTTGTCGTATCAGATCATATTCGTCAGCTAATTCTTTCATTAATTTATACTCATTTGAATTTGGTGCTGGTAAGATATGAAAGACAACTATGACTTCAGGATGATCTGAACAAGAACATTTAAGAAATGAATAATGAAGTCATGAAAAAAGAAAATTTAACGAACTATTCAGATTTCTTTCGTCATTTTGAAATTCAAGTTTCTGAGTAGAAAGTAAACTGACAAAAAAAGACTCCCGTCTAGGAAATAAGGAAACGGAAAAGGTAAGATTATCATTAGAAATGGAACATTGAAACGAGTTAAATTCAACAGTTCATACTACCTCTTGCCTGATAGTTATTATGGAGTTATTTTTGATCAATTATTTCCATACTTAGTAATTTCTCCATCAGTTATGATATATATAAGAATGTATTCGAAGAATGCTTTAGTTGAAATACTTAATGATAAATTAAATTATTATGAAAGAAGAAATAATACCACTATGAACAATGCTATATGTCGTCCTAACTTCCTTCTCATTTCCAGGAGTTGTATAATACACAGCTTTCGGCTCTTTATCGAAACGATGGCTACATCCATATTGCACTGCTTTCTCTTGTAATATCCTTGTGAGCCATAGAGTGAATTCACTTTAAGAAAAACCATATTAAAGGGTTTGGAAAAAAATCCAACTCCTTTTTCCTTCACTGTCAAAAGTATTTAAGAGTAAAACAAAAATTCAATGATGTCTTAATATTGAATATGTCTATTCAGCAAATAGCTGCCGAATATTTTAAAAGCTACTAGTATATATGGAGATCACGACATGAATTTAAAATTGCCTTCCTTATACTTCTCCATAAGAATTCCAATTAAGTAATATTAATATAAAATATTATATTATATACATATAATAATATATTATATTATAAAATATTATAGTATATGCACAAAAAAAGAATACCGCAATGAAGGGATAGAATTTTTGTCGGGTACGGAACATATCAGTGCCCATGGAAAAGCGAGAGGATCATTCATGACCGTTACCCGTAATATATATGAAAAGAAAATGTATTTTAGGTGAGTTGATTGAAGGGAAGAATAACACAATTGAAACGCGTCATAACTTAACATTCCGAGATGAAAATTCTCCGAGCTTAAGAACGCAATATTAAAATCTCAGCTAATATACATCTGATATTGAGCTCTAGAACTGCTGTCTCTTGGTACTAATTCAGTGATGATCAAATACTCATAAAAAATTTTGAGAGAATTGTAAAACTAAAATGTATTTTGACAATTACGCTCGAAACCGATATATAACCCAAAAGAAAAAACAGACCACTAAGACAAAACCATTAGGTAACCTTTCGAGGTAACTTATTAAAAAGTGAACAGCGACGCAATTCACGAGCACATAGCAAGATAATAACTTATCAAATTAACAATAACAGAGCACCTTTGCCTTTCTAACTTGTATTACCTATTCATGGCTATCAACCACCCGTAAAATACACGACGGCCAATTGATAGCTTGACTATAGGAGCTGAGCGTGAAGGTTTAATTAATGGACTGTTTCGGATCGGGATCCAGTAATTTTATTTGGAAAAGTTCTTGATTGCAACAGTGAGGACGACAAGATAGAACGAATACCAAATTTCATTACGGTTTGTCTTTCTTACTTTTATCAAATGCGAGAAATTATCAAATGCAAGAAACAAATCAGATCTAAGACGCTTTAGAGGATTATATGTCCTAATATCAATGTTTAATTACTCTTTGACATATTTAATCACAATCCAGTAGGATTTCGTTTTTGTTACAATACAATATCCTCAGAAACTGTTATATAATTAATATTGCTGACATATTGTACGGATATTTTTAATCAGTATTACAAAAATTACACTGTTTATGAATTTATTGTCTTCTGCAAAGAAGATAATTTATGCAGTGGTGGTTATTGGACAGGATGGAATACTGACATTTAGAATAGTTATTAGACATGAGGTACTTGGTGATGTATTGACATCTTCTTATATTTATGCATGCAGTAAATAGAAATGCTTTTTCAGGGAATATCGATTTTTTTCTGTTTTCATACCATCACAAATGTCAGTACAAAAAACTAAAACTTATCACCCAGCTGGTGTACTGTACGGCAAATGTGATAATCACCCAGTTACTGTTGAAGCTGTGCAGTTTCACGGAGTTAAAATTACTAAAAGTGATGCACTATTAAAAGAAATTGGATATCTTTACACAGTTTCATCACTTCCGGAATTGATACGATGTTGCGACTTAGCTGCTAAACATCTTCGAGTAGGCTTTTGAAAATTCTATGAACTATACTGATTACTATTTGATGTAAACTGACTGATATTATACTTTTGCATTGCAGGAAGTTGGCCTTGCGGATAATGTCACTCCACTTATTGATTCAGTGGCTGGAAAGCGGGGCAAATACATAGTTGATTTTATTATAAAGGAGCCGAAATCATTCACTTTAGGCGTTAAGGTTAGTTTAGTTTGCATGAACTTGTCTGCATTCCATTGTCATTATAGTGCAGATGGATATAATAAGCAATTTCATAGATTAACATTCTAGGCTGGCATGACTAGTCGAGGTGAAACTGATTACTCATTGAATGCTGGCAAGGAAAATTTTGGGGGACGTGGTGAATCGGTGAATGCATGTTATTCCTGTACTTTTGAGGTAATGGTTTGGTTTTGCCTTTTATGAAGAAATTAGGTGTTCAAGGTTTTTTTTCAGTTAGATAATATTACTGGTCAAAATTTGTGGATTCTCAGATGAACTCAGCACTCTATTTTTATCAATGATTGTTGATTAGCCATTGTTGTTTGTACTAGTTTGATATTTAAATGGTTGAACGTAAGTGCAGTTGCAGGGTAATAGAACTTTCAATGTTTCAATGACAAAACCTTTTTTGGGCTGGCAAAAGTATGCTAACGTAGGATTCTCTTTGTATCAAAGTTTTGGAAATTTACCGTGGAATCTCAGTAATATGAAAGAAATTGGACTGGTACTGCAGTATAATGGTCAGTTATGGAATAGAAGACTTCACCATAATATGAAATTGAATACGGTGTGTTATGTATAATTACTTTGTTCTTTACTGAACATCTGTTACTATGGAAGTTCACGCTTACATTTTTACGTGAAGTATTTAGTGTTAATGTCTCTAACCACGATATATGTTTTTAAAACTTTCTAAAGGGTATGACAGTTCTCAGCGTTGTAGTTTTTACGAAGAATTATAAATGTGAGTAACAGTGGCAAAAAGATAAAGCAAATTATTTGTTTTTATTCAAGTCGTACTTAAGATCTGGCGAAAATTTTGTCCAACAGAAAAGACAGCGTTTGCGGTTCGAGAGTATGCAGGCCACACAATGAAGTGTTCAGTGCAGAATTCATTGGCATACGATACACGAGATCGACCAATTCTTGCTACAAAAGGTGTTTTACTAAAAATTGCTCAGGAATACGCAGGTCTTCTTGGTGATGCAGCATTTATCAAGCATCAAATTGATGTCCAAGTCAGTTTCACTCATCTTTTTGTCACTATTTTTCACATGATTTGCCCTTAAAACCAATTTATATATATCATGCGAATAGTTGTGCAATTTTTGATCTATTTTTGATCACAAAGATAATTTTAAGGCATCGACCCCATTACTCATGGATATGTTCTTGAGCGCTTCATATCAATTTGCGATTATCAATACATTAGCCGTTCATCGTTCATTACATTTACTGGATCGTTTGTATATCGGTGGACCTCATGATGTTCGTGGATTTAGCTGGAATACGATAGGGGGTCGAGCGGATTGTTCATCTTGCGTTGGAGGAGCTACTTCTGCCCTTGGGGTTTTGCATATTTACAGGTATAAGATCAATGTCTGCTGTTTTGAATACTGTAATAATGAAAAAAACGTTTTTTAAACACGTAAGTTACCAAAAAGTGACTGTATCTGCTTAATGAATATATGTGAAGACGTGACATAGATCTGTATCGATTTTTTTATAGCTCGAGCATTTCTCTTACATGTTAGGTACTGTCCATGACATTTACAATTTCCAGTTCTGGTTAAAATTACTGTAATTTTTTTTTTTTTTTGAAATTAAAAAATCAAAAATTAAAATTTTTATTTACAATGTAACAACGTTTCAATTATTTGATGAGCTCGAGAAGAATCTAGATAAGTGTAACGTATTAGAAAATCAATTGCCTATTACCCCCACGAGATACTTATCGTCTGGAAAAGTGTACCGAAAAAATGAAAATCAAAAAGAAAAAAGTGGAAGGAAAGTGACTGGGAAAAATGCTATCACTATTTGATATAGTGTAAATGTGGCTTGCATAATATTAAGGCTTTTCACTTTTCGGCTTTTGAAGTAGAATGCAGGAACAGTGTTTTTCAACATTCTACATTATTTCAGGCCTCTTTTTCCACCAGAAATGTTGTTTGCACACGCATTTGTTTCCGGCGGAACTGTAGCATCTGTTGATTCTCAACATCGACTGCGTGACATGTCAAATGCTTTACGTGTTACTGCTGGATTGGGGCTAACATTTTTAATCAAAAACTTTGTTCGCATTGAGTTGAATTATGTTATTCCGTTGAGGTATATGTCAGGTGATCAGTGTGCGCCATCTTTCCAGATGGGTGCTGGTCTTAATTTCTTGTAGTTAGCATCCTTGATGATCATTCTGAACTGTCCTATTCATATAACTTTTCTGACCATGGTAGGAAATATTATGACAGGGCATTGCGAGTAATACTGAACTGGATCCTAGGGTAGGACAGTCTCCGATCATTGATTATAATTGTTTAATCTGTTTTGTAAAGTCTTGAACTAAAAAAAAAATTTTTTTTTGATGTGAAGCTTCCACTATTCACTTCAGGTTAACATTACTTTTAACATTTCACGTTAGAGTGTTTTCCAGTAGAGTATTATGTTTGTCTAGTGATTTTATTGCTGCGACGGTAACTATTTTGTCAGTTTTATCATTTAATTGTTATTAACTCATTATAAAATTCAGGTAATAAAACTGCCTCTACCAGTGCTGGGAAATATTGTTTTATACAATATTTGATCCTTGGTTTTTTTTTTTTGATTTCCATCTATCAAGTAGTTTGGTAATGCTATTTTTACTACTTTTACGTCGTTTATGGATGTTTTTCTTATGCGGGCTGATTTTTCGATTGTAATTTTGCCTTATATTACAAACGTTTGCAAGAACTTCGTCATCTGAGTTTGACATTGACGTAATCAGTTTATGAGAAAATTCGTTTGCATTGTACATTTTAGTAGTAATATTTGAATGTTTAAGCTTATGCGAACGTTGGTATTCGTTACTGGGAACGTGAATAAAGTGAGAGAAGTGCGCGCTATCCTTGGAGATCGGTTCACGGTAATGATTATAGTTTCACTATATGTATATGACTGTTTCTAAAAGTACTAGTTTGTAGGGAAGTGCTACAAATAGGTTTCAGGGGAAGTGAACGAAGTCATGTCGGAGTGGGATTCCAGTGTGATGGACAGTTCATCATTTGGAAATCCTGGAAAGATATTTGAAAGGCCTGGCTGTTTGAGTGAAGCATCAAGGAATTCTGGTCTGTTGGTTACAGTCCCTGAATTAATTCGTAATATAGCACCAATGCGTTATGGTTTACTTACTGAAGAATTTTACAAAAGTTCCAGTTCAGAAACTATGCAGAGTGCAAGAAATGAACGGACTGTTCCCTCTTCGTCATTATCAAAACTATTCTTTGATGATGATGAAGTACAATATATGGGATGCCAAAGTGAATCATTTCATGTGAGGAGCAAATTCTTTCTGTCTCTAAATTCTGCAAAATCTAATGGGAATAAAAGCTCATGCACTTCGCTTTTGAATTTACCGGATAAGGATGAAGGTATGTCTCAGTGCCACTCGAAGATGGCAAAAATTGGAGAAGTTCCAGTTTGGGAACCGGCTTTGAGCTTATTTCGTGACACGCAAAGAGATTGTACAGTGATTTCTGGAAGGGAAGTTCATCGGGTTATTTTTTCTCCCGCTCAGGAAGGAGCTCTCCTCTTCAATCGCAACAATCGCATCTCAACAGCTTCGTTGGCTTCTTATAGAGGACATCTACGCACCTCGAGGACATCCACATTTTTCGATCGTTTTCGCCATCGTCGAATTCCACGTGCGACTGCGCGTAAATTTCTGATAAATAGAGATCCAAAATACAAGGCAAAATATGGTTGAAATTAAAATTTTATCTGATTGCTGAGCCATATTACCTTTTTTTCTTTCGTGATTCTCTTTGCGGACGACTTTTGTAGATATTCATCAGAAATCCTATAAATACCGAGTTTATTGTGAACAAAGTCGAAATGTTTGTGAATATTTTTCTTGGTTTTATTGGGAATATATGAACTTGATGTACTGCATGAAGTTAATGTTGTTTAACAAAAGTGCTTTAAGATGATCAAATACCTGGTGTTTTTAATCGTGGATTTATTTTTTCTGTTTCATCTTAGGCATTAACATCACTGCTGGATAATGTAAAATGTGTTTGCTTTTATTTGGAAAAGTGTCTTATTTTTTCTTTCCATTTTTAGTTTTGTTAAGTGTGAATTTGACACTGTTTTCAAATAAATTATTTTCCTTTATGGAAAACATGTTCGCATATCTAATTTACTGGAGTCTCAAATTCGTCGGAAATGTAATCCACTTCTTTCCAAGATTATCGTATGCTGCAAAGTTGAAAAAAGCTTAGACGTTATTTTAATAAGATATTTCAGATTGAGAATGAAGACATCGATTTGCCGGAATATCAAGGAGAACCGTCTGAAATAGCTAGGCTTAAATGTTTAACAGCCTCACAACAGCTACAGCGACCTGTTGTAGTTGAAGATACTTGTCTGTGTTTTAATGCTCTTGGAGGCTTACCCGGGCCATACATCAAGTGGTACTTTTTTTGACTTTCCAATAAAATTACCCGTTGAAATGTGATGAATTTTCTTTTTCATTTGTCATTTCTCTTTAGAAGAAAGGTTAAGCATAATGCATTGTTATAGGTTTCTCAAGAACTTAAAGCCCGATGGTCTGTACAAATTGTTGGCTGGTTTTGAAGATAAAACCGCATATGCGCAATGTATATTTGCATATTGCGAAAATTCATCTCAACCTGTTCTTCTCTTCGAAGGTAAATTTTCATTAATCGATATTTGTTCAAACTTGAGTTTCTACTCGGTTTTATTTTGGTTTGATTTTCTTAATTTTTCCACGTGCACTGATGTGAGCATTAACAGTACTAGTTAGCAGAAAGTGTTGTAGTTCACGTGGTTGTTACCCTTAATTTTACATCTCAGTTCTCTTTAGTATAAGTCGTACTTCGTTCTGTTGAAGCCACCTAATGTAAATTTAGGCAACCTTAGAGAATTGATCATATTTTGTCATATTATTAAAGTTTCTTTTTTTTTATAGGAAGAACGAACGGAAGAGTAGTTAAACCGAGGGGAGAGACGAATTTCGGTTGGGATTCGTGTTTTGAACCAGAAGGTTTCTCGCAAACATACGCAGAAATGGGTTCTGCAATAAAAAATACAATCAGTCATAGAAGTAAGGCTCTGGCAGAACTGAAAAATTATTTTGAGAATAAATCTCAACAATAAAAACTTTTTTTATTTGCATTCCTACACCTTTCAAAAAAGGAAACATCAGGAAGAGCGATTGAGGAATTTCTTGTGGTATGCTAAACTCGTTGGCAGTATGCTACGCAAACGCGATAAATAGTGTGAATTCTTTAAAATTGACGTGGGTTTTTATTATCAGTGCAGCATATCTTTTATTAATGACGTATGCGATTCGAGAGCAGTGTGCAGAATTCATTATGACCTTAACTTCCGTTTTCATTATAGCAAAACATAATTCTTGGAAATAATTCCTATATGAACTTTTCACAGTGCTGCGTCACTGTACAATTTCTTTAATCTCATCGATCACGCCATTGAGCATTCTTTGATGAGGATGGAAAAAAATTGTAACTGTAAGTGACTTTTCCTTCATTAATTAAAGTATTTGGACTATACCGCTTGAAAGCACGCTTTCGTGTGTTAACTAAATATTTTCCGCTAAGTAGTAAATATCACTTTGTGTTAAGTAGTGAATATCACATATAAAATCTCACATATATGAATGATAGGCAAAATCTCGTCATCATATATTAGCTTCAACTGACAAGTCGGTCTCAGGAAGCGAAACCTAATTTTTCTTGAAATCTTTAACGCATTTCGATGTGTGAACTATCTTGAAACAGTTAAAGGATTGGATATTTCATATGATACAGTCATTAAAAGGTATTTTTCAATCATTGAATTGACTATTAAAAATTCCTTAACAACCCCAAACTACTTGAGAACCATTTCTGACCATCCAGGAATTCAATTCTCAAAATTGACTGGAATACCTGGAAGCTGGTCTTATCACTAGGTAGCATTCAGGACTGGATGATATTTTTCACAGTGACCTTATGGTTCGTCTCTCGTTGAAGCGTAAATGATGATGGCACTTCCACTGTTTCGTTATTATTTATGCTTAACAGTTTGTATAGTCTTTTCAAGTAGACAGGAAGATAAGTGTTGTGGTATTTATTTTACAATCTTGAACAATTTGCTGTCTCATTTCAATTATTTAAATTGTCACGGAGAAAAGAATGGAAAGTGAGAAGTTTTAATGGATAAGGATATAAATGTTCCGTTTTGGACCAAATAAACTCATTAAATGTAAATCGGAATTGAAATTATTTTAATACTATTTGATTTGATCAACTTTCAACTAAATTAAGCCATTAATTTATTCATCATGGAATTTTGATGTGGTAGGAGATTAAAGCACCATTACATTTGTCTTCTCAATCAACCCTTTATTCTTTTATATTGATGATAGTTTTTGTTTTACTGTTAAAGCTCATGCCCAATACGCTATGTGGTGCGACAAAATGACACAACTTTCTCGATCCATGTTCATGTTTATCACATGTTGTTATGCGATATATAATGCAAATGAATTGCAAAACGTCGCATATGATCTCGAAATTGCTGAGATACCTTTTGGATTCGAAGATTTGGAATTGGATGGTGGAACACTGATGGAAAAGATGCCGAAAAATACATTGCTGGTATTTAGATGAAATTTTTTAGCAAAAAGAAAATTTAAGGATCACAGCTAGGCCACTCAGTGTGCAAGTCCGTAAATCTTATCCATAGATTTAAAGTATATGTATATAATATATCACAGTTTATTGAGATATGAAATAGGAACATCGATTAAGATTAGTCTTTGTCAGATAGACTTCAATTTCTCTAATTTTAGTTGTAACTCTTTGTAAAAATATATCAGAGATGTTGCAGCGACATTCATTCACTTGTAGGGAATATTTAATGTTGACGAAGCGAGCTCAGCGGTTGTTGCTAGTGAATTTGGACAAAAGTTCATATGTTCATTGCCAAAAATTCCATCAACAAAAACGAGTAATAGATCTAAATCAAATTTAACCATGAATCTGATTTCTGATGTCATAGCAGCAAGTTTCTATGTGCAAAACTGTATCCGGAAAGTAAGGAATTTTGAGAAGACTTGATAAGAAGTAAAGAGAAACTAGAATTTATGTAAGACTTTTGTTGAACACCATAATAATTAGTCGTTACTGCTCCTTACAATTATATATGGTCATGCGTGAGTCCTTTAAAAAAGGTGATTTCAGTTTTCTAACTGTCCTTTTTAATTTCACCTATATCTAGGGCCTTTTATGGTTATATGAATTATGTTTATATTCCTTTGCTGTTCAATCTTCAATCTCTGGGGAAATGGTGTAAATACGAGTGCGGTTACTATCTACCGCTTCATGATATTTATTACCTTGAATTCATTTATTTAGTTCGAGTTGTTATACGTTCTATAAAGTAAGAATGTATCCATTTATAGAATACAGGATGGTGGACATATGAACTTTGCTATAACGAATATGTGCAACAGTTTCGTCTTGAAGGTGAGAATTGAAGTGAAGAACTTCCTCTTCATTTTCTTTACTCCTCGAAATATTTAAATTTCTAATGCTACTTGTATTTTTTAGGTTCAAAAATTGTTGGAAAAACTATTTCTTTAGGACATTATAAAAATAACTCGGACATAAATTTATCAAAACATGAAAGTGAAAAGCTACCGTATTTTGAACAAATTTATGATGATGGAACAGTTTGCGATGTGACAGAAAAGTCGAGGCTTACACGTGTATGGGTACGCAGCTTCGAATATTTTCTCGTAGTTTCAGTGAAGCTTATATTGAGGCTAAGCCTTATGTTTGAGAATTTGTTTTTTTGTTCCTTTGTCTTTAGCCCTTATGAATAAAATACTCAGTAAAGCATTTATTACGATGACGAATCATGTAAACAGAAATCAATTAATTTTTATCATTTTCTATACATTTTTCCGGAAGACTAATATTTAAGGCTTTTTAGAATGAAATTTTGAAGCAGAAATTTCACTGTTCTATTTCAGTACATGTGTGATGAGGCGTTATCAACAAGCGAAGCATACATTGCTGATGTCGATGAGCCATCTTCATGTGAGTATATTATAAGAGTGAAAACAGGATCACTTTGTAAGTTGGATCTCTTTCTAAGTCAGAGTAAACCGCGTGATCCTTTATCTATCATATGTCGTCCTCTATTGGAGCAAAAAGCTGTCGAACAATACTTGGAAAAAGTAACTAAGGAAAAGCGACAAAAAGTTTGTTTCTGAAGTTTGTTACTTATTTTTCGTTATATATAATACCTTAACGGATAACTGATTGAAACATTATTTATTGCTCATACAAGTGTACTAGGCATAAAGTACGAAATAGAACACAAAAGCTTCACCACGTTCTGAGAATTAGGTTATAATTAACATAGGTTATGGATTACAAACATTTTAAATTTTGTATTTATTACTGAGATTGTACTATTATCTTTGAGTCAGATTAAATATAAATGCTTCAATATCAAAATTTCACGTATAAGTATACTCTTCATTCTTCTAATTTCTTTGCTTTCGTGTTTTTTGTAGTTATGCTTTTCATTAGTTAGTTTCCTTAACACGGATCAGAAATTTTTCGTTATATTTGCAGTACAACTAGTGCAAAGGATTATTGTATCATGAAAAGATTGGGAACTATGGTCATTTTAAGAGAGATTATACATTTTGTAATTTTCTTAATCCTTCAAAGTAATCTGAAAGGTGAATTTCATAGAAGTCCAGATGCAACAATAATTTTATTTTCGATTCAAAAACTTTACGAACTTTTAATTATAACGAACTTTGTACAGTGATATATTTCACATAAGCTAGTTGAAATTAATTTAACGAATATTCTATCAATGATTTTATTATGAATATTGAGCAGTACTTTAATATCATAAAGGAGAATATTTCAAATTGATTTAAGCTTTTGTTATCATTACAAGTAGCAACACTCTCATATGTTTTCATGGTGTTGTCTTCACCGTTCTTCATCTCCTTTTTTGTCATTATACCTCTGCTTTGGAAACTATGGGTTTCTGGAACTTCACTTAATGCTTCTTCGTCAGAATCGTAGTTGAGGATATGGAGCTTTTTGTTAGCATATTGCTATAATATTTGTAGGAAGAAGCTAAGAAGGAATCGGGACTTCTCATAGCACATGCAGATAGCATTCAACGACAGCGATATGCTAGGAAACGTTTGACAAAAAGAACACCGAAGAGTATAAGAGAAATGGAAGAGACTGAGAAAGAGCTCAAAATGCTGTATGAAGATATAATGAGGTCAATCACGAAGCTGAATGTTGATGGTAAGATATATTTTTAATTGGTCATATGATAAGCTAGAACATTCAACTTTATTTGTCTATAAAATACTTTTAACATGTCGAACAATATGCTTCTAACGCCTATTCTTTCTTTTCTTTCAGTCACAAAAGTAAAAGCAGACCTACATTTCATATACGACGACTTGCATGAAATGGAAAGTGAGTTCCTTAAAATTTCTATTCAAAGGACATATTTAATCACTAGAGTAATCAAAATAATTTATCAGATTGTACTGCAAATCTTTGCTACAAATTATTAAGAAATTTCAGCACGTTACATTACCGAAGCGGACGAGGATCGTGGAAATATATATTGGTACTTCAAAGATCCGTATTGGGATCGTAAATTTTTTCCCGTTACTTTTGCATACTCACGTGGCAGAAATAACTACTATCTGATTGTGTGTTTATGTTATGTTTTATGTTGCATATATTAGTCAGTTCATTGGACAGAGGATTAGGTTTTTTAATATTTCAATCCAACTTTGTTGCTGGTCGTATTTTACTTAATAAAACAGGATTAGCAGTGAATATCACTAGAAATGAAAGTTATTATTATTATTATTATTATTATTATTATTATTATTATTATTATTATTATTATTATTATTATTATTATTATTATTATTATTATTATTATTATTATTATTATTAGCAGATGTAAAGCGATTAAGCAAGAGTAATTTATTGTTTAACAGTGATAGATTAGAGTGCACTGTCTTGAGTTTCAGATGTCATCATTCCTGAAAAAAATAGATGAAGAATATGACGAGGAGAAGATGTCATACTCAAAATTTTTGAGCGATATCGATGAAAAATTGGTAACAGAAGCATATTTGAGTGTAATGATCGGTTCGTTAAGAAAGGCTTTTCATGAAGGTATTTTCCCGGACATTGTAAATGATGTGGATGATGTAGAAAATCCATTTCTGGCAGCAATATGGAGTAACGCTGAGAAGCAGCTTGAAATATTGCAGCTGTTTGAATACAAAGTTTTGAAATTGCTAAGGCGAGGAGTAGAATTTACGGCGGAAGATTTAATGTCGCATGTTGCTCGACAACTTCTCTCTGTTCGCGCGTTGGTTTGTTTTTAACTTTCAAAAAATAGTCCTATTCCATGTTTTATTTTGCTTTAATATTTTTTCTATACTACTGACTATTATGGAATGAATAAAGCACTTTTCAGTTACTAAGTGACAGAAGTGATTATAATTTTGACAGAAAACTCAATTATATTGTGGTCGAAAAAATGTTTCTGAAATTTATGGTATTCTTTTTTTCTTGATCAGAATGCGAGAACAATGCTGCAAGTAATTCCTGATAGCTTATACTCATTAATTATTATGGAAGCAGTTTGGAACCCATTCAGTTGTGGTGGCATCCTGAAGAATGTAGTGAACAAATCTTATTTTTCTATATTGAACATCAGTTTGTAGATTTCATTTGTTGCTAACAATTCCAGGATTGGATTGCTTTCAAAATTACTGCTAACTTTTCTCGGTTGTTTGAAGTTCTGAATTATAAGGATGTAGGAATATTTTTTTTGTTTTCTGTTTCCTTATAAATTAAATCTTTTTAGCAAAGCTACAATCGTGCAGTATTGCGTTATGACAAAAAATCGTGGGGTAATTTTATGAAGCACACTTCAGTCGAAACGTTTAGAATGTTTGAAAATCCAAATATGTTTCTTGCCCGAATTGAAGGTAGGTTTTAGGACATCCAATAATTTCATTGTCTATTATGTCTTGTATGTTATTACTTTAACCCTTTAAGCATGGCTTTAGACATTGTAAGAATGAATCTATTCTTACAGTGTTTGAATTGTATTATAAATAGTTTTAGATTAAACGAAGCAGGTTTGCTGGTTTATCATTATAGTTAACTTGCATTATTTTGATCTAATTTTGTTTAGATTTGAGTCCCAAAAATGCTCATCTTTTCTACACGGATAATACTGCAATTAAAGGTTGGGAAACAACTGAAGGTGAGTTTATTCATTCAGTATAAGGGTTTATATAATTTGTTAGTATATGATTTGAATTATACTGTCGAATTTTTTGTCAGGAAGTCAGGAAAACATATTAATACTTTGTGTAACTAGCAAATGGTCTGTTTCCGTAAATTTTATACTTCAGAGGCGAGTATTGATAATAGAAAAGGAGTCCAGAATGTCATGAGTAGGGAAGAAAAAGCTTCGCAATTAAGAATGCTTGAAAGAGCTAGAAGAAAAAACTTGAGGAAGAAGGTTGAGGTGAGTGGTTTGCGTTCATTCAACGCTTTTGTGTTTGAAAACATCCTTTTTTTAGCGTTTAAGATAATTAAACCTTTTCCCTAAGATTTAGTGATCTTCAACAATTTAAGATAAGGAGGAAGTTTGGTTTCAAGTAGCTGTTTTTTATAGCTTTATTTGCGATCAAAGAAAACAGCAAAAAAAAGTGAATCAGATGGAACATTATTTCACGATGGTTTTGATGACTTGCGAAAACAGCTCTTTGTTTTCAAAAGTACACTAGAAGAGAAAATCCGAGAAACAGGTTTAATCCAAGGTTTGTGACTGTTTGGTTAAAGAATAAAAGTCCGGACCCTTATATATAGTAGGGCTGTTTGGGTGTTCGCTTGTATTTGGAATGACTCTCTTTTGGTCATTTCACAGCTAATGGAATTTTCAATGCAGAGCTTACTGTAACAATAAAAAGTTATAAACTCTCCAAAATCATTAAGTTTCAGGGGCGGAAGTCAAAGTGCAGCTGGTTTCTCCTGTTGGTAATGTTATCAGCAGTACGGGCGTCGGAGGATTAGATGGTGAGCGTGTAAATGCCGTGCTAAAGGCATTTTTCCTTGAACAGGACAGTGTTAGTGATGAAGAGAATCGATATGATCGACTGGCACGGGGTTATACTTATGGTGCCGGTGAAGAGGAGGGAGAGAAAGTGAGAAAAAACGGTGATGATGATGATGATGATGATTTAAAATCAAGCATTTTGCCTATTTTAAAACGGATCTTGCCTTAGGAATAGGAGCGGAATCTTTCTGATGTCAGTTTGTATATAGCCATTGAATATTGTGCTATAATCCGAAGTTGTTTTGATGTTGTTATTTTCTGGTTTGCCTTGCTCTTTTTATAACCTTGTTGTGGGTTCATGTAAGTAGCAATTTGCACTCTAGTCCATGAAAAAATAAGTTTATTCGGCTTGATATTTTATAGTAATCTCATGGTTGATTATTATTAATTTTATGCTGTTAACTGTATATTTTTTGCTCCTTTTGTTTTAACAGGATATCTTTACAAAGCATAATTAATTAAAAGCAACTTTGTGTGATTCTCCAACTATTATTCCCATATTTGGAAAGATAGGAGTTGTCAAGACTTTAGTTTTCCCTAGAGAAAGAAAGAAAATGAAACAAGAAATATTTAGATAAGTAATCATACATTCCATAAAACATTGAGTTTGTTCTCATCAGTATTGGGTGCGAACATGTCGGTACTGTTATCTTTTTTATTTTGGAAGTGTAATATGCATATATATGTATAGTGAACATTTCACATCATCCAACTTTTTACGTAAAATGCTTCACGCTGTTTATATATACTTAGTTGCACTCTAATCGAGCAATAATTATTCCATTTAATTATTAAAATTATATTGAAAAGGAACATTCCAGAGAGAGAGAGCAGGAGGTAGAGAGGATGAGAAACATTATGTGGACGTAGGTTAGTCTGTTATACTCATACATCATATTGTATATATATATATGTGTGTGTGTGTGTGTGTGTGTGTGTGTGTGTGTGTGTGTGTGTGTGTGTGTGTGTGTGTGTGTGTGTGTGTGTGTGTGTGTGTGTGTGTGTGTGTGTGTGTGTATGTGTGTGTGTGTGTGTGTGTGTGTATGTGTGTGTGTGTGTGTGTGTGTGTGTGTGTGTGTGTGTGTGTGTGTGTGTGTGTGTGTGTGTGTGTGTGTGTGTGTGTGTGTGTGTGTGTGTGTGTGTGTGTGTGTGTGTGTGTGTGTGTGTGTGTGTGTGTGTGTGTGTGTGTGTGTGTGTGTGTGTGTGTGTGTGTGTGTGTGTGTGTGTGTGTGTGTGTGTGTGTGTGTGTGTGTGTGTGTGTGTGTGTGTGTGTGATGTGTGTGTGTGTGTGGATGTGTGTTGTGTGGATTGTGTGGATGTGTTACGTTAACGTCAAGCTGATCGATTACCATAGTTATAAACATATTGTCATCCTCCTTTAGTAGTGAGATCTCGAGATGTACGTATTTGACGTGTGGTTCTGGTTGTATGAAGTATACCCGTTGGATCTTTCAGTGGTTGTCGATGACTTGATATTTTAGTATTTATTTTTTGGGTAATTTTTTTTTTCTTGGTATTTTAGGGTAATAAAACAGAAATTCTATTTCATATTTGTAAAAAAGATTTGCTTACATCACTAATGTCCGGCATGCGATGATATCTACTTGCTTTGTTCTTTTACGGTTTTGTGATGAAATTGTGACCGATCGTTTGCATATGTCTGCTATAGAACGATGCCAGTTGCGTCAGCACCACCGTATCCTGATAGAGTTGTGGTAGAACAAGGAGTATCGACTAGAGCAGCTCCTGATGATTCACCACCGGCTTATGAGGATTCATCTAATCCGAACAGTAAGTTAATGCTCATTCTGATAATGGCTTGATCATTTTTTTTTTTTGAAAAATGATTTGTTACGTGATATTTGATGTTCTGTTTGGAATGGATCATTAAATGATTCACAGCTTTGTCTTTGATACAAATACAACTGACATAGTTGTTGTAATTAGTTAACTTCTTTGACTTCCTTCTTCTGGAGGGTGGAAGAAGTTTGAATAAACAACACATAATAGTAAAATTACAATCATGTGATGGAGAGTAATTTCAGGTATGCCGCCAACCTATGAATCATTGTATGGTGAATTTCGGCAAGTTGAGGACCCAAGAGGATTAGCTCAATTTCTAGCAAAAGCTTTTGCAATAATTATTAGTACAAGTAAGAGTTATTCATTTATTTCTTTGAAATCCAACAAGATATAAGTTATCGCGATATAAAAAGATGATTGATCATTATGATCAAAACTCATTAGAAAATATATTCACGGAAGAACAAATAAACTGAAAAATAAATTTTCCAAATCACATTTACAAATTCATTGTAGAACAGCTGTACCATAATCGATATGTTACACTTAATAATTAAATATCACTGATCATTCTTTGTAGAAAATTTTGCAGTTGGTGGTTGATATGTTTTCATTATCAAATTTTAGTGACCGCTGCGGTGCTTTTGGCAGTGCTAAATATCATTCCATTAGGAATGATAGTACTTGGCGGTTGTAATATCTACAGCTGTCCCGTGGAACCTTACATACCTATCTGGCTCATTGTCACTGGTTTCTTTTCTTTACTGAAGAGTGCAACAAATTTTTGTTATCGTGCTAAACGACAACGTGAAGGTCGTCCGCCTTCTGCAGCAGACGTCAATCCAAATCCCTTTGATGGTCTGCTGTCATGTTTCCTACTCGTCTGGTTTATAATCGGTATTCTTTTTTTAACCCATTCTTTCCAGTATTCGAATTAACTTAACTGGTAATATTTTGCTAACCATGTATTTCATCCCGATGGTTAATGGTGGTAGCAACAGTAAAGTTATTACATTAAATTTTCAAACCTCATCATTATTACCTCCTATAATTTGATAAAAAATTGTGTTTCCAACTAATAGATATTTTACTATTCAAGAGAAATCACTGCCATATGAATGAAAGTTCATTGCGGAAATAATCGTTTCACTTTTTAGTTGTTAATTTTTGATGAAAAATAATGTAATTTGATATATTAAATCATATTTTATTGTGATGTACATTCTAGGGAAGCCTTTTTTTCTTCTGAAGGATAATAGAGTACTTTCTAAAAGGACATATCCAGGAAGAAATGGAACTAAGGAGACATAACAAATTAAGAGACAAATAAGAAGTGAGACTTTATATGTTAGATTCAGGAGGAGCAAGCAAAAAGGAGTAGGTTTTCCAAACATTGTCAAAATTCATTTAGTTATTACTGGGAGATAGCTATAATTATTAATTGATTTGATGACAGCTTAGATTTTAAAAATCAAAACTAGTAGTTGTTTCCATAATCAGTTGAGAGTGTGAATGAGGGTATTGCTTTGTTCTTTTTTATTTTTCATTTACGATATTTATATTTAGGATCAGTATGGGTATACTCAGTGCAGAAAGATGTACAACATAGCAATTCTCGGGATAGTAACTACTGCGATCAGTTCACTTATGTATTTTCGTTCGTATTTGTAACCCTGGGTTATACACTATTAGCCTGCACATTGTGTTGTTTCTGTTGCTGTTGTTGCTGCATTTGTTGTCGGCCTAAAAAACAGCATGCTGGTGGTGCTGTATAAATATTACTGTGATGAAAGCTATGCTGTAAGTCTGTAATATATTTTATTTATTAACCTTACACATTGAAAATGTGCTGTGTGTAGTAACTATCATTTTGCAGTAAAATAATTATAATGTATATTTTTTTACAGGGTAATATGTCACTTTCGGTCAACAGTATTCAATAAAAATTTGTGTTAAGCCCATGGATGATTGTGGTCCATTTTATACTCGACTTCACAAATCATAATCAAAAAATAATGTCTATCCATTTCAAATGTTTAATGGACTTTCTGCTTGAAAACTGGATTTGACCGTCAGTGACACTTGTTGCTTCTCATGACCAATCCAGGAAGCAATTTTTCGAGTAGACTTGTTTCAGAATTTCTTTGTACAACTTGTTTATTTTTTATATCCCTTTGTGAATTCATATTCATGTTTCGAGCGATTTATATGCTTATATATTCTAGTTGTTTTTTGGTTTAGATTTCCATAAATTAATATAATTTGTCTACACTAAAGAGTTTTCGTTTAGAAAAATAAATTGCACCATTCCCATAGTTTAAATACTATATTTCATAGCTTATGTTTGAGTGTCAATGAAAGGTAATATAAGAAAGCCACATTACATTGTGACCTTTACATTAGAGTATCATGTCATAGAACATTAAAATAAGTATGTCCGTTACGAATCACTTCACTGTATGCCTATATTTTATTTAGAATCTTCGGAATTTATTTATGTATGGCTTTGCTGAACATGGAAACAAAGTACCTTTGATTATAATATAAATATAATAATGTGTTGCTTCAATAAGTGCAGCAGTTTTTTGCTGATTGCCAATAATATACTGTTAGTTTTTGATTTCGCAACTTATGTTAATTTAATTATATTGTTCTGAATATTTCTGGAATACTCTTGTAATCCAAAGGAAGTGAAAGAGAAAGGACAAAGGGCTGGTGTTAGTATTGAATTATAGAGTTTATGGGCATGGTGTTGGGGGTGCAAGGCCTCGAATTAATTGTTGACAGGTTCGTCTTATTGTCGGATGATTGCAGTAGTGACGGTGGTATTTCAAAGAAAGGGTGGTAAAGTATACATAACTCAAGTATTATGAGGCGCAGTACTATATGTGTAAAAAGATATTGCAGTTAGGTCATTTGGATGTCATTTCTTTGTACGGGCAATTCGTATTTATATTTGGTAAGATGTTTGAATTTTTCTTTCATTTTATCTTTATGATTTTCCAGTATAGAATGCATAAAACTATAACAGTGATTCTGTTTGTTGATTTCTTTTATATCCTCTATATTGTATTTAATTTCAGAATTCCTGAAACAACAGATAAAGTGAAATGATTGTTACTGTACAAACTAATCACTCAATCAGTCAGATGTTTAGTATATTTATACTTTATCAATTAATGCAGTAACTTCCGATATAAAATACTGCAAGTTCCATTTAATTAATTCGAGGAATATCATAAGTTTTTTGGAAGTGCTTTCTTTATTGCATATTTATTATTACAGAATCACTTTACCTTAATTATATATTATGTTCAGTCTGCTTATATGATATGCAATATACCTTTTCTGCATCAGTTTTTTCGA